AGCAGAGAAGGGCTGATGAGAACGTGGACCAAGAGAAAGGAGCTTTCAGTTTCTTAATTCATTTTGTATGGCTCTCCATTCGCTTATTTCCTGAGATACAGTGATACCAATAATCCTACTTGAAGTACGTTTTTTCTAAAAATATCTCTAAATATACCAGTGTGTCTGCTTCAAATGAGCCTTTCTCTGGCCATGGCAAAGCAGGATTTTATAAGCTTGCCTATTCCAAACATGACAGTAAAATAAGCTTTTTAAGAAAGAGTCCTGTTGGCAGGCTTCTTGTTATGTTTCCACCATCAAAGCAAGTGGTGAATCACATGCAGCCTTCAAGCTTGTATTGCCCATCTTGCTCCACTGAAATTCAAATTTGCAGGGAGGATTTGTAATTTTCCCTGAGAGCCCAGTCCCACTGAGCCAAAGTAATTGAAGGGACACCTTTCAGCAAACATTCAGGGTTTCTTACCTAATCAAAAGTGGCCAAAATCGTCCAACAAATTCACCCAGCAAAGGACTCACTTGAGGTAGACCATCTGTATTGCCAAAGAGTTGAAACAAAAAAGAAATTGAGGCCCAAAGGAACATGCCAATTCATAAAAGAGAGAAAGAGAGAGATTTTTAGTACTGAGAAAAAATAACCTTTAATTCATGCAGATATAGCCTGAAAGTGGCTACAGAAATAAAATGAATTTTCTTTTCTGTTTATATGAAATTAAAGCTACAGTTCCTAAATATCATTCAACTTCTTTTAGCAAACACTCAGCAGATGTTCTGCACCAACAGGTACATTGTGCTTACTCTGACATCCTGTTTTTCAGTTTTTATCATTCTTCCTCTGTTTTTATAAGTGGTCATCAGAACCTCCTCAGTTGCCCATTATATTGTATCCAGCATATGTGACTAGTCACATCCTTTAGCATGCTTCACTCAGTAAGATTAGATTAAATTCAGTCTCCCACAACCTCTCCTAGTCTATGCAAGTCCCATCTGCAGTTTGAACCCAGTTGGTCATTGTCTGCTCAGGCTTTACTGTTACTAGGGATGATTCTGGGCCTTGGCTGACAAAGAAGTCTAAAGCAATAGCCACCCTTCCAGGGATTTCCTAGTCAGCATTCATTTCTTTGGCATCGTCAGGGGAAGACTGGCTGGTAAAGTATTGGAGACTCAGGCACCCACCCTGCACATCCCCACTTGTCTGCCTTTCCTCTCCTTCTAGGAGACAAGACATTAGCCTGCCCCCATGTGAGATCTGAGGCTGGGCCAAGGATGGAAGCCAACTGCTAATTGCATTAAATCTTTCCAAGTTACTGTTCGCTTTTACTGTACTTAAATGTAGAATACTGTGTTTTAGAGAAAACACGCCTTCGACTTTATCAAGTATTGCCAAATTGTTCTCCTGAATTGTTATCCCAATTCACACTCCCACCTGTAATATATGAGTTCTTACTTTCACACATCCTTGGCAACATCTGGTGTTTGCAGACTTTATTTTTTTCAATCTATCGAGTATGAAGTCGTGTCTCATTTTGGCTTTAATTTGCATTTCTTCACTATTGAGCATCTTTTCATGTTTGTTGGTCACTTGGGTTTCCTCTTCTGTGAATTCACTGTTCATATCTTTTGTTTTTCAAAAAAGCTGGTTACTCTGCTCAGTGTTTGGAGTACGTTATATATTCTGAGTACTAGCCTTTCGGTCAGTCCTATTTGTTGGAAATACCTTCTCCGAGTCTGTGCATTTTTATTTTGTTTGTGAAGTCTTTTGCATAAAGTTTCATGTGCCCAAATGTATCAGCCTTTTCCTTGATATAGCATCTGGTGCATGTCTTCTTTAAGAAGTATTTTCCTAGTCTGATGTAAATATCTCAATTTCTTTTAAAAGTTTTACAATATTTCTTTTCATATTTAAATCTTTGATTTATCTACAGTTTATTTTTGTGCATGGTTTGAGATAAAAATTCAATTTTATTTTTCCCATATAAATATCTAAATGCCCTAGTACTATTTGTTGAATGGTTTTCTTCATTGATTTGTAATGTCACTTTTATCGTTTATATAAGTGTGTGTCACCTTATGCTCACTTTTCTGTTTCAAGTTTTCTGTGTGTGTGTGTTTTTTTAATCTTTGCCTATACCAATACAACAGTGATTGGATTTCTGTAGTCTCACACTAAGTACTGACAGCTAGTGAGGAAGTTCCTCCTCTTTTGTTCTTCAGAATTGCTTAACTCTTCTTGGCCTTTTGTTTTCCATGTTAATTCTAGGATCAACTTCTCAAGTTTCTTAAAAAACCCTTTGAGGATTTTTATTGTAATTGCAGTGCATATAGATTAATTGGAGAACTGCTGTCTTCATAAATTGAGTCTTAACCACCCACAGAGATGGAGCATCGCTCCTTTTGCTTAGGTCTTCTCCTTCCCTTCACTGCAGCTTTTCAGTTTGCATTTTCCCTGTAAATCTCCCGCCTTTCTTTTCTGCTTTAGATTTGTGTAGTTTTTGTTACTGTTACAAATAGAATTATTTTTAAATTAAAATTTTAATTGATTTGCTGGTGAATAGCAATACTAATTTTAAACTAGAACCTTTTGTATTGTCAATGTAATAACACTATCAAAATATATTATCTGTGTGATACAGATGCTTGATGTCCATTGAAATCTGTTCTGTGACTGGTACACAGCTCATTTCATCAATCTTTTCTGTGTTCCTGAAAAGATTTTCTCTTCACTTATTTTGTGCACACACGTCCATTAGATCAGGCTTGTAATTGATTGTCCAGTCTGCAGTCTCACTAAGGGTTTTCTGCTTCATTTGTGCATTGTGTGCTTGTGGATTTGTTCATTTCTTCAAGTAATCCTGTGGTCTTCTGCATTGTTCATATGGAGACTGAGTTCATAATTATTATAGCTTCCTTGTGAATTGTTCCTTTATTACTGTTATAACTTTTTATTGCTATTAATTTTTTGCCTTGAAATTCTTTTTCTGATATTAGTACAGCTTTGTCAGTGTATTCGGTGTATGGTTTGACCAGTGTAGCAGTTAAGGATGTGTGTAGCTGCAAGTAACAGAAAAACTGACTACAGTTCCTTAAACAAATGAGGGAGGGTCTTTTTTTCTCTAATAACAAGATCAGAGAGAGATGTGGGTCCATCTGCCCAGAAACGCAGGCTCTATGTTTCCATTTACCATTCACAGTGTGGCACCTTTCATCCTCCGGCTTGTTTTCTCCAGGGGTGGGTATGAGATCAACTTTTATTGTTAGCATTACATAGTACAATATCCTTTTCAGCATGTATAGAATCTTTGTCTCGTGTTTGCTTTTTACCCACATTTTATGAAAGTTATTTAATCAGAAGATGGAATCTTCTCTTCCCACAGTAAATATGACAGTTGCCCTGACCAAAGGAAGTCACTGGGAAGAAAGTGCTTCTAGTTGTCTCAGAGCCAGAGCAGTTAATGCTCAAATCTGAGTCAAGGAAATGCCATAATGACTAGCAAGTAATCACACACTTAGGTTTCAGCGCATTCATGCAAAATAAAATAGTTTGGTTTTAGTAAGTTGAGATTTTGTATTTAGGAATAATTAGTATATATATTCTTTCAAAAGATGGTACCATCATTTTCTACAGCTTTTCAGAAGACTGATTAAATATAAATATTTTCCCTGAAGCCTAGTATCACTTTGTATCATTTGCTAGGGCATTAGTGAGGCCTTCTTACCTAGAAAATGTGACTTCAGACTCCCCCGTCCTGTATTCCATTCTCTGAAACTTCCAGTACATCTGATTTCACCTCTGACCATGCCCTGGATCATGAAGATGGCTATGTGGAACCATAAAGTCACTGGTTTGCATTTATAGCTTTCAGTATCTATAAAACAAGGTGGTCTATTTTTTTTTGTTTTAAAATGATTAGCCATATTTAGATGGTTCCAGTGCTCCCCAGGGGGCCACTATAACAACAGACTAATATACCTAATGTGCAATTTGTGCTTAAAGTTAGTGAAGCATTTATCTACCTGTTTCATTAGCCTTCCTTAGCTGGAAGAAGTAAAGAATATCTGTCTCCATTACAGATAAGAAACAGAGCCTTCAGAGCTCAAATTGTAAAAGAATGCAGTGTCAACAAGAAAGAAAGAAAAAGAAAGAAAGAAAGAAAGAAAGAAAGAAAGAAAGAAAGAAAGAAAGAAAGAAAGAATTTTTTTAAAGAATGCAGTTATTGCATTCAAACATTCAAAGCAGGAGGCATTTTTATAAACACCAGAAGTGTTGTTTTGAGTTATTAGGTTGTAGTGCATAAGCAGAGCCTGGTGCTACATGAATACTCGTTGAATAACTATACACTTAGTTGGGCATTTTCTTTTAGGCACTGAAACTGCTGATCCTGCTTTGAATGCCCTCATGTCATCATTGATCCCTGTCTAGCACAGTAATGCTAAACAGAAACCAGGTGTCTTTTCACTGAAGGACTTGGAAAGTGTTTCTGGTATGAGATTAAGCACTGGGAACACATTTTTCCTTTTAGTGCATATGTACATTGTTTTACATGGTCACCTTATAAATTTTGTGCACTGCTTAATTGTACTGAGTTATACCAGTGTGAAATCTTGAGATGGAAGTTTTTAAAAACGAATAGGTATTCCTATATTTTATAGATTCCTGTTTTTATAGATGTTTTGCTGTGACCTCTCTTTTGCATTTGACTAAAATTACTCTTGCTGTGTTTGAGACCTCCTTCTTATCTTTCTGACTAGTTACCCTTTACAACTTTATATTTGAAACTTACTTTTCTTTATTCTCCATACAATAATCATCCCAATGTTCTTATTTTTTTCCTCACAGATTTTCAAGTTCTAAGTTGTCTTAATGTTTCTCTGAGCTATTTAACTCCATCTTAAATTTAAAATCTTTCATTACTGTTGTAATTGTGATCATTCCTGTATACAAATTTGAATTAAGTTAAATTTAGGTTTTGTTGTAGTGTAAGTGTTCTAAAATAATCTTTCAGCCATGGAAACAAAGAAGTCTTTTCCTGCCGAGGAATAAAATTGGCAGTGGATTGGTTTTTGGAAAGAGGTCACAAAGATGTCACAGCTTTTGTTCCTGCTTGGAGAAAAGAGCAGTCCCGGCCTGATGCCCTCATTACAGGTAAGCACACCCACCCAGGTGTCGGGCACTACCCACTATTCCACTGAGCACCACATGAATCTGTCTGTCTGCTCACCCTGTGTGATTGCCACATTGTCTCGGGGGGAACATTGAAGTTGTCTTCAAGTTTAAAACTATCTGATTCTGTTAACTAAACAGTAATCCTTGCTGCATAAGCCATTTTTTGTTTTTGTTTGTATGTTTGTTTTTTAATTTGGAAACATTTTACTTCAGATTTTGTGAAATTCTGACATTTAGAGACATGCTAGGTGTAAGGGGACCTGGATTCAAACTCTGCCTTTGCCATTTACTAGCCACAGGACTTGAGCAATACCGAACCCCACTGGACCCCAATTTTCTCATCTGCTATAAAGATTAAACTAGGTGGCATTCAAATTATAGTGACTGCAGGTCAAAAAAGAACTGAGAGACTCAGGATGTGCTGTCTGATGCCACGTAGAAAGGAATGACTCTATCCTAATAAAATATCTGTATTTTGCATTATTTTGTAATTTTAAATGTGTGCATTTCAGACAAAAATGTCCTCTGTGCCTGCTGATTATTGTTGCTAAACATTTTGCTCAAATTTAATGATTCTCACCCCTTTATCTACCTCCAACATTAGCAAAAACTGAGAAATTGTGTGAAGAAATACACTTTAAAATAAAAAACAAATGGAGAAACCACTTACCATGTACCTGAAGTCCTATTTTTAAACTTTATTTTTATCTATAATCATTAAATCATTATCAAACTAGCATAAGAATAGATAGGCAAGTTATGGTGGAGTCCAGAGCATGGAATCATACTGTAGCCTAGATAAACTGTGAAGTGGGAGAAGCAGGCACAATTCAGCCAGTAGTATCAAGACATTGGATAACTCTTTGAGGAAAATATACATATTTAGATCCTTATCTTACATCATATAACAGTTAATTCCAGATGGTTGAAGAATTAATTATCAAAAATTAAACCATTAGAGACTATAAATAGTCTTTGAATAGCTGAGAAGAACTATCTAAATTTAAATTTTTTTAAAGAAATTACAAATGAAAAGAGATTTCATTGCATCAAAATTTAAACTTCTGTATTTGGGGAAACTTTCTTAAAAATGAGAAATCTTCTTATTTGCCTAAGAAAAAAATATAAGCAATAAACACGGAATTTACATCCTTAACATATAAGGAATTCATACACATTGATAAAACAAACACACAGTTTTCCCCAATATATAAATGGTGACATGGCAGGAATAGACAGCTTGCAGAAGAATACATGTGCCAGATGAGAAAAAAAAGCATTCAACAAATTAGCAATTTAAGAAATGTAGCCCTGGCTGGTTTTGCTGAGTGGTTAGAGTGTTGGCCTGTGGACCAATGAGGCATGGGTTTGATTCTGGTCAAGGCCACATGACCTCAGTTGCAGTTCGTCCCCGGCCCTGGTTGGGGTCATGTAGGAGGCAACCAGTTGATGTTTCCTCTCTCTCTCCCTCTCTTCCTCCCAATCTACCTGAAAATAAATAGAAAAACATCCTTGGGTGAGGATTAAAAAATAATAATAATAAAGAAATGTAAATTTCAACATCTTGTTTTTCACCCATCAAATTTGCAGAGATTAAAAAAATGGATAATACTCAGTGTCTTGAGGGAGTTACTATTCCTACAGTGCTGTGGAAACAAATTGTTACAACCTTTCTAGAAAAGTTTGGTCTTAAAATGTTACTACTCTTGGATCTACTATTTCTCCTTCTATGAATAATTCCCCAGAAAATAAGAGGTCCACACAAAGATTTCTAACCACAGAGACATTTCAGTGCAATATTACTTATAATAGAAAACAAAATGGAAGCAAACCATACATTCTTCAAAAGAATGGTTCAATAAATCGGTATATATTGATAGGATAGAATATATATTAGAATATTAGGCAGAATTTTTAATGACCCAAGGAAGTTCTCTTCTACGTAAAAGTCAGGTTTTATTATTGCATGTGTGTGTATATATACACACATGTACATACAAATGTACATATATAAATAAACAATGGAGAGAAAAAAATACACAGAAAATGACTAGAAGGAAATATGCCCAAATATTAACTGTAATTGAACCGAAAAAACAAACAATATTTAAACATGAAAATGACTGCAAGCTTCTTGAGCATGAAAGAATATGAGATCAAGAAGGGAAAATGATAATACAGTGTGGATTGCAGCTGAGTTTAATTTTTGAAATACCAGCATGATGCACCCAGAACCCATCAGCATGCAGCTCACTCTGAAATTCATACAGGCACTGTCAGAGGTTAAGTATTTTCTCCCCCAGGATAATCATCTCCTGACTAAAACCCTCAACCAGATAATAACTGGGAAATTGAATAGTCTCGTATTTTTTTCACTGTATCAAAAAAAAAGAAACTTGGTAAGAAATATTTTAAAGTTCTCAGATATAGATTCAGACCAGCATTTTGCCAGTCTTCCGTTGATTTATCAAATACTTAACAAGCAAGTATTCAGCTATGTATCAGGTACTGTGCTAGGAACTAGAGATTCCATTAACTTACTAGCTGTACTGAACCCATATTTATTTAAGTTTGAATTGCTTATTCTAACTGTCATCTAATTAGTTATCACTAATTTCATCCTAATGAGTGTCCTGTTCTTCTCATTAACAGTTAAGGAAATGCAAAATAAGCAAGATGATGATGACTGTTAGGCCATCACACTTTTCTTTCATTTTGGTGAGGATGCAGGCATATTATGTATGACTAAACACTTCCCCAGATAAAGTACCATGGATGATTCATGAACACAGACAGTAAATAAATTGGAAGATCTCTGAGTGTTCATGGTTAAGTAGCTCACATACTCATTTGTAGACCTTGATTGAGTATCTGCTGATGTGCTGATGGAAACAAAGAAAAATGAGACCTTCCTTAAAATGGTTATCGGGGGAGCCCAGCCGGGGTGGCTCAGTTGGTTGAGCATCACCCCATGCACCAGGAGGTCACCAGTTGAATTCCCAGTGAGGGCACATGCCCTGGTTGTGAGCTTGATCCCCAGTAGGGGGTATGCAGGAGTCAGTCAATTGATGTTTTTCTTTCTCTCTCTCTCTCTCTCTCTCTCTCTCTCTCTCGCTCTCTCGCTCTCTCACTCTCTCGCTCTCTCGCTCTCTCGCTCTCCCCCTCCCTCCCTCTCTCTCCCTCTCTCTCTTCTCTTCCTTTCTCTAAAACAAATAGAAACGTATTTTTTAAATGTTTATCAGGGGAACACACACAAAATAATTATAAGGTAACAGATTCTATAGTTGAGGCAGGGCTTTTAATTTTGTATTAGTTTTCTGTGTTTAAAAGAGATCAACAGTTACATACATCTATTAAATCAAATTAAGTAGAAGAACACTGTTTATTGAGAGCCTTTCAGGCACTGTGCTAAATGCTGTTACACTTCATAGCTCATTGACTCCTCAGAGCCCATCAGCAGCATTTGAGGACATGAAGAAGTAGGCTCTGCAGGACTGATCTCCATCTCCATGAAGTAGCAGAAGCTGGGATTTGTCCATGACTTGCTGATCTCAAGATCCACATTTCTTCCACTTCTCTGCTGCTTTTCTAAACCAAAGTTCTAGTCTCAATTAACTTTGGAACTTGATCCAGAACATCATTAAATCCATATGCCAGTATTAGAGCTGGTTGACCCATATCGCTTTTCCATCCCCATTTCCCTTGTACCTTATTCACACTGCCGTTGTGGCAATTACAATCCTTGCTTACTTAGCTTATATGTTATTCGATCCAGTACCTGAGACCTCCCTGAGAAGAGGCCATTCTTAATCTTGGTGGCCATTAACACTTAGCATAGTATATAACATAGAGTGGTTGTCCACTGAAGAGACAGAGATTTAAAAAATTAGTAACTCTGGTCCAGCCAATGTGGCTCAGTGGTTAAGCGTCGACCCATGCACCAAGAGTCACTGGTTCGATTCCTGGTCAGGGCACATGCCCAGGTTGTGGGCCCCATCCCCAGTGGGGGCATGCAGGAGGCGGCCAATCGATGTTCTCTCTCATCGATGTTTCTATTTCCCGCTCCCTCTCCCTTCCTCTCTCTCTAAAGATCAATAAAGAAAAAAAATTTTTTTTATTAATAATTCTAGTAATTCACAAGTTGCTCAGTCATGTTTAAGTTTTATGCTTCTAATTTTTTTTTAACTTTTAAACGTTTCTGAAGTTTTAAACTTTTTGTTTTTTTAAGTTCATTTTGGGCCAGCTATTTTTAAAGCTTTTGTTATTGGAAATCCTGCAGGGAAAAGTACTGGGAGTTACAAACTTGCTATATCCATGTACTGTACATCATAACCCCTAATTAAATGATTACAAGTATCCAGTTTATCTTTTGAAAGCTCACATTGTATGGAAGTCGCTTCACATGTTACATGTGTTTATTTCTGAAATTCTACCCTGTAGATCAAGAAATTCTTCGTAAATTAGAGAAGGAGAAAATCCTGGTGTTCACACCGTCCCGGCGAGTCCAGGGCAGGCGAGTGGTGTGCTATGACGACAGGTTCATCGTGAAGCTGGCTTTTGAGTCCGACGGTATAATTGTATCCAATGACAACTACAGGGATTTGGCTAATGAAAAACCAGAATGGAAGAAGTTCATAGATGAGCGATTATTAATGTATTCATTTGTCAATGACAAGTAAGTAAAACCACTTAGTTAGAAGTAATTCTTCTTTCCCGAATTATAATTATGAAAAGCTATTTAGAAACATTGAAAAATATGTTAAAAAGACAAAGCATAAGATTTATGTTTGTAAAATGGTGTAAGCATACGGAAAAATGACTAAAATTTAACACATAAGTGGAAATTAATTGCATTAAGATTGTAGGCCTGAGTGACTGTGTTCTATTTTTAAACTTTTAATGTTGCCATATTTTCACATTAATATTAAACACTGTATTTGCTAAGTGTTATTTCTCCGCCATGCTGACTAAGTTCATACGTTATTCACATTTTATTGGTAAATACTTGGCTTATTTCAAGCTCAAACAGTGACAAAACTAGTAGCAGGACTTTTCAATCATAACTGTTTTTCATCATGCACACCATGAATTCTTGCTTCCATTGGACAATCAATCCAAAATAATAGGTGTATTTCCTTAAGACATTTTCTCTGAGAAGCACCTTAGTAGAGAGGGAAGAGAATGGACTGTAGAGTTAGACATCTTGACTATGCCATGTGAACTTAGATAAAAATAACTTCATTTATCTAAGCCTAATTAGAAAAGTGTATTCACCTGCAAAAGCAGAGCTGATGCTGCAGGGATCACATCAGGGAAACGAGGTAACGTGCACGGATCCTGACATGTGCTCGGTGTGGGTTAGTCACGGTCCTCTTGTCAGTTTATAGTACATGACCCGTCTCTTCCTCAGCTGCTCCTCGTCACTCCCCGTCTGGTTCATACAGCTTCACAATATTAATGTTCATAAAATTCTCCTAAAACGTCACTGTGATTGTTTTGTAAAATCTTTACAAAAATCCCAAGACTGAGAGGAAGAAATAATTAGAGCATGCTAGACTCAAAAGTTATTTGAATCAAAACAAATAAGAGTTCAGATTGAAACATTTTAATTTTGTTTTTATCAAGAAAAGAGAACGTTGTAAACTAAGATTTGTATCTTGTAAATGTTGAATCAAAGTACTTGGATTAAAACTGAAAAAAAAAAGAGTAATAAATCTTACACTGTCTTTAGAATTAAATGATCAACTTTCTACTTATGTATAATTATGTATTTTCTTCATGACAGGTTCATGCCCCCTGATGACCCTCTTGGCAGACACGGCCCAAGCCTGGATAATTTTCTGAGGAAGAAACCTATTGTCCCTGAACACAAAAAGCAGCCTTGTCCATATGGTACCTTTCTTTATGAGTATTTAATATATGCCTTTAGAACACAATATGTTGTTAAATTTTTGTTAATAGACATTTTTAATTTTGGATGGCATAGCATGTAGTTTGATTGTAATTAAATTTAAGAAAACATCCTAACCATGAAAAACTAATTATTTGTATCTATTTGAGTTCAGTGCAAATGCATTTCCCTGAATTAAAACATGGTTCCAGAAGCTCGGTTAATTCTACATAAAGTTTTCAGGTAGATAAAAATGTGGGGTTCATGTACCTAGATACACATCAGGTTCATGTGGCTTTATCACATTACAGCAACACTTTGCTTTTCTAAACAGAATGTCCTGCATGATTATAAAATCATACTAGAAGAGAATAGGTAAGAGTTGAGGACACAGGGTATTAGCCAAAAAACTCTGGAGGAGCTTATAAATCATTTGTCCATCTTTCTTAGTGCTGTTAACACATTTTTGACCACTCAGGAGTTAACTCGTGTTTTCCTGCCCAAACGTTGCAGACCGCACACGAGTTAACTCGGGTTTGCACTTGCATCAGCTATTTCAGTTTTTGAAACTCGGTAATATAGGGTTATTGTATTTGTGACTCTTTGCCCTGAGGGTTGAAGTTCGAAAAACAGCACACTGTTCTATATTCTTGAAGTAGCTAGGGAATGGATATCTGCTGGTTCAAATGAGTGCAGCTCAGAACCTAATGTGCAGTTTGCCCAAAAACGTGCAGTCTCTGGCGTATGTCTTAGAGATCTCTATGCGGTACGTAATGTGTTAATAGCACTGAGGATGGGAAACTGAAAGGTGGTGTTTCTCAAAAGTAAGGAGAGTAACACTCATTGTGGCTCCCATTTCTGCCTTTGTTTCTTTCACAAGTCAAAGTGGTAGTGCCAAACTGGGTTTCCGGCTCTGCTGGACTGCTCCTTTGCCTAATGAACTTTCCTCTCCACAGGAAAGAAGTGTACCTATGGACACAAGTGCAAATATTATCATCCAGAGAGGGGCAGCCAGCCTCAGCGGTCAGTGGCTGATGAACTTCGTGCCATGTCGAGAAATACAGCTGCCAAAACTGCAAACGAAGGAGGTCTGGTGAAAAGCAACAGCGTGCCCTGCAACACCAAGGCTGACAGCACTTCTGACGTCAAGCGAGGTGCTCCAAAGAGGCAGTCGGATCCCAGCATCAGGACTCAAGTCTACCAAGACCTAGAGGAAAAGCTTCCCACCAAAAACAAATTGGAGACCAGGTCTGTACCCTCCTTAGTTAGTATACCGGCTGCTTCTACTGCAAAACCCCAAAGCACTGCTTCGTTAAGCAATGGCCTTCCATCTGGAGTTCATTTCCCACCTCAGGATCAAAGACCACAGGGACAGTATCCTCCAATGATGATGGCAACCAAAAATCACGGCACGCCAATGCCTTATGAACAGTATCCCAAATGTGACTCACCTGTTGACATTGGGTATTATTCCATGTTGAATGCATATTCAAATCTGAGCATCTCAGGCCCACGAAGTCCTGAAAGGCGTTTTTCCTTGGACACAGATTACAGGATAAGTTCTGTAGCTTCTGACTGCAGCAGTGAAGGGAGCATGAGCTGTGGGAGCAGTGACTCATATGTGGGCTATAATGACCGGTCCTACGTCAGTTCTCCTGACCCACAACTAGAAGAGAATTTAAAGTGTCAACACATGTACCCTCACAGCCGCCTTAATTCTCAACCCTTCCTGCAGAATTTCCATGACCCCTTAACCAGAGTACAAAGTTACAGTCATGAAGAACCAAAGTACCATCATAAGCCTCCTCTTCCACATCTGGCTGTGCACCTGCAGCACCCAGCTGTGGGAGCCCGGTCCAGTTGTCCTAGCGACTACCCCTCTCCTCCAAGTTCAGCACACTCTAAGGCACCACACCTAGGGCGGTCCTTAGTGGCCACAAGGATAGACAGCATTTCTGACTCTCGGCTGTATGACAGTTCTCCTTCAAGACAAAGAAAGCCTTACTCCCACCAGGAAGGGCTGGGAAGTTGGGACAGGCAGGGATATGGGATTGATGCATATGGCTATCGGCAGACTTATTCGCTGCCTGACAACTCCACACAGCCGTGTTATGAGCAGTTCACCTTCCAGAGCCTGCCTGAGCAGCAGGAGCCGACGTGGCGAATACCGTACTGTGGGCTGCCACAGGATCCTCCAAGATACCAAGACAACCGAGAGAAGATTTATATCAACTTGTGTAACATCTTCCCACCTGACCTTGTGAGAATTGTCATGAAAAGGAACCCTCACATGACAGACGCCCAGCAGCTAGCTGCAGCCATTTTAGTGGAGAAATCACAGCTGGGTTATTGAAAGATGATGCATCTTTGTGGTGTTTAGTAGTTTTTTGTTCAGCTCAAATGCTGAGGGAGGTTTGCTACAATAGCACATGTGATCTCCTTCTCAGCAAGGAGGTTATATAGTATCCATTTATGTGAAATACTATTATCATGGAATCTGTATGTATAGCCCCACATAGTGGAAGTATCACAGGATTGCTTTACATTTAAACTTTTTTTTAACATTTCCTTTTTAAAGCTATATCCTTGACTGGACATTGTTCCAGTTTGATTTATTAGATGTATTTGTGATCTTTGATATTAATCTTTGGTGCATCAGGGGTTTATATGCAGCACTTTTTATCCTTATTTCATGTTTTATTACTTGGTGTTTCTCTATCAATTGCAAGCAATTACAATACCTTCAGAATGTCGAACATTTGACTAGACCTAGCAAACTATTTTTTCAAGCCAAGCTTAATTGGAATCTTTTACAGCTTTTTAAGTTATTTTTATTTGGGGAAAGTGGGCTTCTTTGTGCTATAATCATTATTTATAGAAACAAAGATATACTACAGCACTGACTCTATATTTTAAACAAATGTAAGTTACCAGTTTATGTTGAAATGGGTAACATAATAGAATGATTTACAATATGGCACTTTTTAATGTTTTATTTTTGTTTGGATTTACTGTCAAGTAATTAGTTAATTTAATATAGTGGATTTAAAGGAAAGCCGATGCAATCAATGGAAAAAATTGTTTCCATTTTTTTCTTACGAATAAGGCAGAAGCCATAACTGTTACAGTTTAGAGCTTTGCTATCCAACTATGATGTGCTTCTAGGTAGTGGAATGGAATTCCTTGATTTCCATTGACCTATGTTTTCAATGTGTTTGTCTTTTGTTTGGGGGCACAACATACTGGATAAAATAACCCTTTCGCAGTACTTGCCTGTTTTTAATGAATCTAATTATTCTCAATGCAACTTTTATATTTAATATACTCTTTAGCTTTCCTGCTGTTTATCAAGATTGGCCTGAGGTGGTTTTATGTGTTCAGGATATGCAACGTTTATTGATGCTGCACTATGGGAATGGCGAGGGAGGAGTTGTAAATGGTAACTTAAAATTTTTGTAAGATACTGTATATTTTCCATTTTCCTGAAGGTTGTTTTATGGGGAGCCTGTTATATTATTAAGGCCAGATTCTTGCCACAAATAGTGTAGTTTTAGATACAGACTAAAGTCTGTTTTAGTATTAGTAAGGGATATTTCTGGTTTCAAAGTCATGGGTTTTGCTAGATGCTAATTCATTTTTATTGGTTAGAAGATAGATATTGCAATCAGGGGCAGACAGTTGTGTGATTGACATGACTTCCCTGTTGCCTCCAGTTTTTGAATTTTACTTAGAGTAACAGACTCATATTGATCTGTTTCTATAGTCTGCCAAGATGCCCTGGTTATTCTGATTATTCCATATGATACAGTTTGAAGTAAAGCCCTGAAAAACCAGAAAGTACCTTTTACTGTTGATACAAATTGTATCTTTTTAACTATAAGAGCTATTTTGATTTGTAGATCTAGTTAAAACACAAATGTGTAACTATAATTAGACTTTTGGGCAACATTTTATCCCTTATTTAAATACAAATTTTTTAAGTAAAATTGAGGTCTAGAATAAGGTAGAAAATTAAAGTAATAATTTAGGTAAATAAAAGTGTCTGTCCTAGTTTTATATAATATATTAAAATATATTAAATAAATATTGGCATTTACTTTCTCCTAAAACATATCTAGTGTGAACTTAAAATAAAGGTAAAATGCTGCCTGAAAATAATGTCCAAGCACCTTTGACTAGGATAACATTTTCACTACTTATGTGGCACTGTGTGTTGCATGAAGTAGGATTTGGGTATACAGTAAATGCTTCTAAAAGGCATTGTGCATATTGACATATCCAATAATCTGAACCGTGTTCAGCAAACTTAATTCAGGAAAGTGGTGTTCTATACAATTATTGCTGTTGTTTTTGAGGTGAGTGTGGCTCTCGTCTGTACCTGGAAAGATTACGGGTGATGCCACACAAACCGTGCTGAGTGGGTCTGAGAGCAACCCACTCATTTGTGGAACTGTTCTCCGTGGTGTTGTGGGTCACTATCTGTAGAACAAGCTTAAATGTAGAGGCAAAACCAGTGCCAAAAATAGGGTTACAAATGTGTAGTACCTTTTAGTCATATTCTAAGCCTTTTTTAAAGCGTGAAATCACTTTTAAATTTTACATGTAGGTTTTGCTTTCATTTTCTTAATTTTAGTGTCTTAATTGGAGATTCTGCCAATATTTTAGAGATTTTAGGCAAAGTGTATATCACACTTTTAATTTTATCTTAATGTTTTTAGCTAACAATTTGTCATTGCTTCATGGATTTTAGACTATGGAAAACAGTGTGGCTTGCCACACCTATTGAAGGGAAGCGCTCTGAACTTCCCACACTGAAGTCCTTCAGTGTGATTTTAAGTTAAGAGAGAGCCATTTTCTTAGGTCAAGAGCCATTTTCTTAGTGTCCCCCCCCCCTTTTTTTAAGCACCAGTGTTGCTTTCAGAGCTTAAGAATCAGATATTTAGCAGACTTTATATATAGCAAATTCTTAATTATCTAAAGCAATAAGTAAAAGAATCTATCATTAAATTAAATCCCTAGCTGACTCCAAACCTTTAATTTAGCCAAAACTTTCACCCTAATCATATCTTTTACCAGACTTGCTAATAAATAAGAGGTGTGTTAGTAAGTAGTCAAGCTACCAGGAGAAGAGATTCCGATTGGAGTATTCTGCCCCTGAATAATTGAGAGTTGACTGTACTTTACACAGTAATTAACCAGTTCATTGTCTCTGTGTCTTAGTACAGAGGGAATAATACCCAACTGGCCAAATACTGGCCCTTAGTATTTCCTCCTTTCTTGCATGTGATATGTAAGTTTTCAGTCTCCTTTTTATGATCTCTGTATCCTGATAGAGTTTGTCATTGACCTGAACATTTGAAAAAAATGCAAACCAGTATAAAATATTTGATACTGGTAGAAACTAGAACTTTGTGTTTTTATGAAAATTCATTTATAAGCATATGTAATATAACTAAAAAGACTGTGTATATATATATATATACATATACATATATATATATACATGCATACATATTTGTTATGAAGTATTAACAATGGGAGGGGGTTATGCTTTTGATGGCTAACTTTTCCTTAGTTGAACTATGTTTCTTTGAGTTGTATATGTCCAAGTCTGGAGTCTGGATGACCAATGATAAGATTTAGAAACACTTGAATGGAAAGCAACTCTTCACTGGTTTTATTCCTGGTATTTTTAAAGAATTTTTTTGATAAATTTAATAGAATGTGTAACTTTAACACACACACACACACAAAACTTAAAGTAGTATTGATTATACAGGTAATTATTTAACATGTATTTTATGGATGTATCTATATGTATATAGACAGTAATATATTTATAAAACAAAGATACTCTATGTTGTAGCTATTAGTTTGTGGTAAGTAGGAGGATGGCTCTGGGTGTGTGTGTGTGTGTGTGTGTGTGTGTGTGTGTATGTGTGTGTGTGTGTGGAAAACTATCAAGCTGTTTTTCCCCATTGAATGGCATTTACCCTAAGGTGTATTTGGCTTTGGTTATTCTTTTTGCTATCAAACTTCCTTATTCAAGATAAAATAAGATGCAGTTTTCTGGCCATTCTGTTAGTGTATGGATAGTGCATTTTATTATCATCCAGCTCCTGAAGAATCCCAGGGTGACAGGAAGTCAAACAGGCTGTAGCCAGAATCTTTAAATATACTAGACATGGGGACTCAGCTAGGATGTTGACTTCCTAGGTATATACCAACAAATAAAATGAAGTATAAAATACATGAATTGTACACATGCATTAAAATAAGAGAACAAGTGTTAATAAAAGTAGAGAAGTATGCATTAATTTAGGTTGGTCTGGGAAACCCTCTAGGGCAAGGGTTAACAAACTTTTCTGTAAAGGATCAGAGAGTAAGTAATTCAGGCTTTGAGGATTGTATGATCTCTATCAAAAATACTGACCTCTGCCCCTATAGCATGGAATTAGCCACAGACAATGTATAAAGGAATGCGCGTGGCTGTGTGCCAGGAAAACTTGAGTTACTGAAACAGGGCAGTTACTCAACAGGCCAGTTCTGGCCTGTGGGGCACAGTTTGCTGATCCCTGCCCTAGAGGGAGAAAAACAGACATATTAAGCATTAAATCCTGATACATGCTAATATAAGAGATAACTATGTTTCAGTGGACAATGAAAGAAAATATTTTATTGATGGTCTTCAAAAGAAGATTGTAAGACAGTCATATTAAAGCATCTTAATTCACTTACGTGCTTTACCAGCTCACACCCATTATTTATTAGAGAGATTTCTTTTGTTTAACTACACACAAAAAGCATTCTGTAAAAAGATATTTTAATAAGTACTAAAATTGTCTCATGAACTTTATATTTCTATTGATAAATGGAATCCCTTACCTACCTTTTGTTTCTTAAGGGCCTCATGGACCAAAAATTCTGTTGTGTTTTGAAAATTAGCATATAATTAGCCACAAAATATTTTAAAGACTGCATTTATCAGTTACATTTTTCTGCTGATTTTTGACTTCTAAAAAATGACAGGCCCTTCTTTAAAAATGGTTTGAAAGAAGATGTATTGTAATTTCACATAGTGTAGCTTTAGTCTGTAAGGTTAAGAATTGTGACCAGTGTAATAGTAGCTAAAATGTGAGTGCATTTGCTGTATTGGTTGGTGTCGCTATAAGAAACAAAGTGTATCCCTGCTTTCGCTGTCCAGACCTTTAGTGTAGATTTTTTAAAGATACTTTGGGACAGTCCTTGGTGAATGGTATTCTTAACATAATCATGTGTAATTTTAAATTCACTGGACATAGACGCTGTGGAGCATGTTCATTCATGGTGTTTTATAAATTGTTACATCAGTAGTATCATTTCCATTCGTCTTGAACATACCATCCACTTAAGTAGTTATATTTTCTGTTGAAATTGGAATACAATTCTAGCTTTTAAAGGTAACTGGTTGCTTGATTTTTTTTTCTTTAATGTGCCTATTAACCTGCTTTTTACTTCGTTACAATAATACTGCAATGTGTTAGGTGTGGCTTTCCCCACGGTCCTTAGTCTTTCGGATTTAAAAACAATATAAAGTTTTGACCATTTGGCAGTTTAAAAAAATGTCTGTGCTTATTTTAATTGTTTTATAAAATTTGAAAAGTTTCACTTTTTAAACCATGTACCAAATTTGCCAATTTTCTCTCTCTATATTTCATATGAGTAACAAACGGTTGTGCATGAAAGTTTTTGACCCTAAAGCAACTGTGTCTCAAGGGGGAAAGACGCTGAAGAAGAAGGGTTTGTTTTTATAAAGAATTAGTTTTAGATTTCCTTTGATTTTTCTGAAATTATAAATTTCCTAGCTAATACAAATTACCCACAAACACGCGAACTTCTGCAGCCATAGACATAGCATTGCCGGTGAGCCCAGTTACTGATTTTGTCTTCTCCTTTTAGGTTTGTTTCCTCCCAAACTGTAGTTGTATGCTAATACTAGAATTTCCAATTTGATCCTTCAAACTTGTCTTATAAGAAAATAAGGCAAAGAATATCTTTGGAACAACCATCTGATAAACTGACGTGATTCTGTTTATCCTGTCTGTTCTGTGTGTTTCTGTAATGAAATTTTTACAACCCCAAAAAGCAGTATTTTAAGACCTACTGGAAATCATATCAAAACGGCTATGTGATTCTGCCGCTGAGATAAAATAATTTAAAAAATCATTTTTCTTATGGTGGTTTGTTTTTGTTTCATGAAGAAATGCACTTCATGCAGCAGCATAGCTGCTAAGTAGGGAAAGGCACCCTTCCCTGGTCCTGGGACACCCCTGCATTTCGTGGTTAATAACATGTGTCTACTGTAGGATCAGCAGACATTCCGTATCAGTGTGTTAGAGCCACAGTTAATTCATAGGAAACTGGGAATTAAATGCCAAAGACAACATCAGTGATTAACCTAAGCTGTTTCTGTCTTCACCTTGAGGTTTCTGTCACCTGCGACCTGATATTACTGTATATATCTGTCTAGTTTTCTGCATCTCTCCTTGCATGAATGAAGCTTGGTATCTTACTAATGCCTCCCCTCAGTAGGCTCGTTTCCCTTCCTTTATGACCTACGAATTGAAAATACTCTATTTCAGATACGATCACAATTACAAAATGGTCTAATGATCTTGATGATTTAACATACTCAAACTCTGTATCAGTATATAGAAACTATTTTATTCCAGGTAGCAGATTTTTTTCCCTGCTTCACTGTTTTTCACATTTTCGCTTTTCTTGTTATTATTTTTTCCCTAAAATTGCTATTTGCCATTGTTGGGTATTTCTCTCCTTTTTCCTCCCACTTCTTTTAAGTTGTTTACCTGGGATCTTAGGGATTTAATTTATCTCAGTCCCCTCACAGATTTGATTATTGATGTTCAGCTGTGGCTGGCAGAGAACTCAGCATATCCGAAATAAATGTTAGGTAGGAGAGGCTGAGCTGCGGATCTAGAAGATTAGGTGGCGCTGCAGTGTGGACTAGAGTTAGTAGTTAACCCCGACCCCGCCCTACCGCTAGTGCTTTTGTCTAAAGAAAAAGGACTCGTACACATCAATGAGTAAAGGCATGTTTTTAAAGACGAGACATTAGTTGTAAAAAGCAACTATAATAGTGAATTTATTCAAAACAAAATACCTGCAGTTGGACCTCTCATTAAGCATACGTATTTACTAGCATTTGTGCCTCCAATGCTAGTTGCTAGTTAATGATGTTCATTGGGTGTTTTTAAAGACTTAAAATGACTTTTTAAAATCATTTAACATTTTAAAGGTTTTTAAAGTAACTTAAAAATGTATTCCTCTATGCAACCATCAGCCTATGGACGCTGAATCCCACTGCACATACCCTATAGGTAAAGAGGGGCAAGTTTCTAAAGGGAGGCAGTTGCCTCAACTCCTCATCTCCTAGTGAGCTGAGACTGAATCCGTTAAACCCTTTGAACAGGCAGAGCCATAATATGTGTTCAATGCAGGATAGCAGTTATGTAAATGCTAGGTATTTAAACATATAGTCATTTTGAGATGTTCTCATTAGACGCTATCTATACAGTTGTGGAAGAATTTGAATTCTAGCAATCATGTAATATATTCAGTTGTGAGTTCCATTTTCAGTGACATTTTAACCTTTAAAGAGATCTTGAACTGAGGGCTGACTGAACAGCTTCTGAACAGCAAACAAGAGGCAGGAAACAAGAAATGGGCAAGAGAGAAAGAGACATGGAATCATGGAATCCCACCTCCAATGCACCAACATGCATTTGGGAGGTATCACTGAAGGGCCCACAGACTTACCCATCCAGGGTTACCGTGAAAAGACAGTGGTTTAAAGGGCACCTAGACTTTACTGACCCTAGAGCATGTGTGAAACAGGAGGGGAGCTACAGGAATTCCCCAGTGTCAGGTACCAGAGGACAACATTTGTTGTGCTCCCCCTTCCCCCTTGATAGGCAGCAGCACTATCCAGATGCTCTAGCTGTGCCAGCCAAAGCCATCAAAGTACACCCCAGGCCCACACCACTTTCAGGATTCCCCAAGGCCCATGCCCTCTCCAGCATAGCTCTGGGTCGTGGTACAGCTTATCCTTGGGTCTCTTCTTGGCCTGCTCCAGCTATAGTTTTCATTCAGCCCACCAAGGTGGCCCCAGGGCTGCTTATCCCTGGGATTTCCCACAGCTTGGCTCCGGGGCTACCTGTGATCTGAGCCCACTCCAATTACAACTCTAACTGGCCTGCCAAGGCATTCCCAGCACAGCTTGCCCATGGTTAGCACATGCTCCAGGTAAAACTGGGTCCCAGTGTGACTTGCCCCCAGGACTTTGCACAGCCCATGCTCACTCCAGCTATAGCTCCAGACCTCAGCTGAGCTTGTTCTGGGACATCCCTTTTCCCAAGCCCAGTGCAACTATAGCCCCAGCCACCCTGCCAGCACAGCCCTTGTGAGGCTTGCCTCCTGGTCTTCACATGGCCAACTCCAGCTCCAGCTGCTGGCCTGCCAAGAAATTCAGTACACACAGTGTACAAAGGGAAAACTCCTACACAAGGTCACTCCTTCAAGAATGGAAGAGGTTGCTATTTCACTTAATTCACAGAAAAACACAGATACCCAAAATGAAGAGACAAATATGTTTTAAACAAAAGAGCAGAACAATGCCCCAGAAAAAGACAAGAATTTTACCTAGTAAGGAGTTCGAAATAATGGTTATACAGATGTTCAGTGAACTTGGGAGAGAGTAGAAAAATTCAGTGAGAAAGTCAGCAAAAAGATAGAAAATATCAAAAAAGAACCTGTCAGAACTGAAGAATACTGTATTTTTTTTTTATCCTTATCTGAGGACATTATTCCATTTTTTGTTCAGATAGAGTGGGAGAGAGAGGAAGAGAGAAACATCGACGTGAAAGGGACACATTGAGTGGCTGCCACCCGCATGACCCAACCAGGGCTGGGGACAAACTGCAACCAAGGTACGTGCCCATGACAGAAACTGAACCTGGGTCTCTCTGGACCACAGGCCGATGCTCTAACCATTGAGCCAAACTGGCCAGTGCAAGAATACTGTAATTTAAATGATTAATATAATAGAGGCAATCAACAGCAAATTAGATGATGCAGAGTGAGTCAGTAAGCTAGAAGACAAGATAGTGGAAATTACCCATTTGGAAGATCAAAAGGGAAAAAGGAAGCAAATGAGGATAGTTTAAGGGACCTCTGGGACAACATCAAGCATGCTAACATTCACATTAGTGTTCCCAGAAGGAGAATAGAAAAAAAATAGTAAACATATTTGAAGATAATATCTAAAAATTTCCCTAACCAATGAAGGAAACAGATATCCAAGTCCAGGAAACAAAGAATCCCCAACAAGATGAGGCCCACACCAAAACACATAATAATTAAAATGCCAAAAGTTAAAGGTAAGCAGATTTTTTTTTCCTTTATTGATTTTTTAGAAAGAGAGAGAGAGAAAGATAGAAACAGCAATGAGAGAGAACACTGATTGGCTGCCTTCTGCATGTCCCCACTGGGGATTGGGCCTACAACCTGGACATGTGCCCTGACAGGGAATCAAACCGGCAACCTCTTGATACATAGTTCACTGCTCAACCACTGAGCCACACCAGCCAGGCTAAACAGAGAATCTTAAGTGCAGCAAGAGAAAAACAGTTAGTGACATACAGGTATTCCATCATAAGACTGTAAGCTGATTATTCAGCAGAAACTTTTCAGGCTGGAAGGGAATGGCACTATCTATTCAAACTGATAAAGGCTCACCAAGCCCTGGCCAGTTTGCTCAGTTGTTAGAGCATCAGCCTGCGGTCCAGAGAGACCCAGGTTCAGTTCCTGCTAAGGGCATGTACCTCGGTTGCAGTTTGTCCCCAGCCCTGGTTGGGTCATGTGGGTGGCAGCTGCTCAATGTGTCACTTTCACATTGATGTTTCTCTCTCTCCCTTCCTCTCCCTCCCTCCCGCTCCATCTAAACAAAAAATGGGAAAATGTCCTCGGGTGAGGATAAAGAAAAAAAAAAAAAAGCTCACCAAGCTCACCAAGAAGATTCTACCCAGCAAGATAATCATTCAGAATTGAAGGAGAGAAAAAGTTTCCCAGACAAGCAATATCTAAAGGAATTCATCACAAAATTGGCATTATAGAAAAAATGTTAAAGGGCTTTCTTTTTTTACTTTATTGATTTTAATGAGGAAGGGAGAGGGAGAGGGAGAGAGAGAGAGAGACATTGATTGGCCAGCTCCTGCATGCTCCCCACTGGGGGTTTGGCCCACAACCTGGGCATGTGCCCTGACCAGGAATTGAACCAGCAACTTCTTGGTGCAGGGGTTGACGCTCAACCACTGAGCCACATCAGCCAGGCTAAAGGGCTTTTTTTTTTTTATTGCAAAGGCCAAAACTAAAAACAACAAAATAAAAAATCTCATTGATAAGGCAAACATCAGGAACAAAACAAGGATGTTTATTTTCATCATTCTTATTCAACACAGTATTGGAACCTAGCCATAGCAATCAGACAAGAAAAAGAAATAGACCGATCCTTTTGCAGTTCATAAGTGTGATGATTGGGTCTTCATAC